AAGAGGATGTTAGCATTTTTAAAGCCTTTTTTCCCCTTTTTATTATATGAATCAGTGTTCTTGAAGGAGTCAAAGTTCAATCCTCCTGCTGCATTACAATGCCTTTCAGTCTAATATTAGAGAGCGAGTCCCATTTTACTTTGTAATACGAAGCTTCACTTCGGCATTAATTTCATTCGGAAAGCAGCTGCACTTATAATAGATTCCTTTTAAGCAAAATGGAAAATATACATTTATCAAATGACTTTCTTCCAGTAATGCTGCAGCAGTCTTTATTGCATCAAAGTTGTCAGCAATCAGCCTATCTTTCTGAATAAAGATGTGCCAAATCATAGAAGCTGACTTTATATTGAATAAGCAATAAGTGAATTCTATGGTAGGTGGACAGATGGACACTATCTCGGCTGTTACAATATGATGTCTTTGTTTATGCCCACTTCACATAGCTTTAGCAAATGAATATAGGGGAACATTTTCTAAACAGACATAGAAAGTAATGTTTCCAAAATAAACATCATGTTTTTCAAAGTGCTTTGTCTAGAATGCTAATAACACCTGATTAGAAATGAAAGATTTTTAAGATCAGCTTTATCATCTTTAACTTCCCCTGCTGAGACTTTCTGTCTTTTTCTCTTCCAAAGTGGTTATTTAATGACTTACATTTTCTGCAGATCATATTCACACTCTGGTTCAGCACAGGTTCATTCTATTTGTAACTAAAGCAATGTTTAGATTGCATATTTATTTATTGTGGTTTGTTTTTACCTTTTGGGTAAATCATGGGTCCAATTTAAATATTAATTCAAGTTTAAATTGATACGTTTATCACAGAATTTTCTGTGGATTGGAATATCCATTCTTATAAACTGTTGACATGATACTCCTTGGTTACAGAGAGAGTAGTGTTTGTCTCTTTATCATCCTCTGCTGACCCTGGCTTTTGACATTAAATAAAGGATTTTCCCAGTTCATTCTATGGTTTCCAGAATTCTGAACATTATTTTAAAATTACTTCTGTTCTTATATTACAGGACATCTATATGACTCTTACTCTCACAGGAGCTGTGATACTGAAGTAGGTAGAAGAGATGGAAAGAATGGGAAGGTCTTCTCACTTAATCCCAATGTTCAGTTTTTAAGGTTTTCAACCCTGCCTATTCCACAAGCCCAGAGATCCAATCAATCAGATTTACACATTTATGTCGAAATAAGTTTGAAAGTGCTCAAGTAAAACAGTGTTTCATATTCTTATTATATTTTTGGAGTTACTTACAAAGACAGTATCATTTTGTTTTCTGACATAGATAGCAGGGAAAGAACACATAATAACCAACCACAGATAAGATAGGGAGTTAAGGAGGAGAAGTCCACTCTTCCATACTTTTCCTTCCTGCCTGCTTGCCGTGCTTGCCAACCAAATCTAAGTTGGAAAATAATAAGAATATTAAAAAATAAAAAAATAAAAGGCCTATAATTAACTGCATGCCTTCAGTCAGGAATTAATGAATCAAAGTCTTCATAATCACATCATAACCATCCAGTTTCAAATTTCTGTGATCTATGCATTTTGTTTCTGGAGTGTTCACAGTTCATATATAGGTAGTGAGGTAGTGGGTAGAGATGCCCCTACTAAGACAGCCACTAAAATGAATGGAATTATACTCCTTAGAAGTCTGGACACCTCTATGGGCCTAGGTCTCTTTCACCTCCTTAGAGCTGAGAATCCTGCTGTCTTGAGTTTGGTGTCTGCTTGGTAAGCCTTGCAACAAAACAGTCAAGAATTACAGTAGCAATTGGATGGAATCAGGGAAACCCCCCAAATTAGGGGCATGCTCCAGAAGAAAGCTGTCTTCTGTGTCGAATGCATACAGTAAGGTGTAGTAAATAGCATACCGTTAGACCCTTTTAAAAAGAAAAAAAAAAAAAGCAACAACAAAAACCACCTACTACATATATAAGTAGAAAATAAGGCAGGGTAGAATTCAGTTAAGCAGTAGTACTTCTCTGCTGTTGCAGGATAAGTTCCCAAAACTGTGTGAAGCTTCAGCTATAGCTTCGTCTTTAGTGAGCACCAAATCCTAGATATTAAAAAGGAAGAAAAAAATCACCTCCCAAAAATCCCCAACCCCTTTGGTTGTAGTTATGGGAGAATGGCTGATCTAATTGATCTTACCTCCTCAGGGAAGCTTCTCTTTAATTAAGACATAGCCACTTGCCTGGTATAGTGATATCTAGTAATTCTCTTGAACAGATCCATCAGCAGACTGGGGCAGTCTTCAGCCGATGTGCAGTGCTGAAGCACTACTATACTGAGCTGCAAAAGCTGATTTTTCAAAGGCTGTAGTGCAGGTTAGATTACAACTGACTGGAATAGCGATGCTGTAGTGGTGATTGGCTGGCAGCAAGTCAAATCCACATTGCATTACTAGAATGATAGGACAAACTGCTTGAGAGACAGTATGCCTATGTAATTCATTTAGGATTATTTATTTTTATTTTTTTTTAGGAAGCAAGCACTTTCTTGTTAACACATGAAATCAAAAATTTAACGATGGCATATGTGTAATACAAATGCTAAGAATATGTAAAACATAAAGCAAAGATCCAATTATAACTATAGCTTATGAAGGTAAAATTTTCCTGCCATATCATCTGCATATTCATTCAACTGAGTGTTTTATATATATGAAAGGAACACTGCGTGTGCTTGGATATGAATAATTCTGTGAAGAAAAAGTATTACTTTACATGAAGACACATGGTATATTTTAGATAAACTATGGTAGAGCATGCACTTGAAGACTCATAGTAACTTTTTGCTTCCTTAGCTAAAGAACATTTATAAATAATCTTAGGCCAGTCCCATATTTAAAGTGGATTGAACTATTTGTATTTTCTTACTCTCTGTAACTAAATAGTTAACTAAATGTTAACTATTTTCAGGAGTTCAGCAACATAACTCATTCTCTGAAGGCCAATCATTTTAAGATTTATAAACATAGAGCCATAACATGTATACGTCAAAGAAGAAACTCAGCTATGAACTAAGAAAGTTGTGCTCGGGTGTTGCATATTTGCTCATCATTAAAAAGATTCTTTTAATAGTAAATTGTCCAGACAGTTGAATGAAGTAAGGCAGTTCCCTGTAATGGCTGTCTTATACTTAATCCAAATAAGAAATAGATGAGTAAGGGGAACAATTTCAGAGAACCTGCATATTTATAACTTGTTCTTCACTCAGACAATTAACTCCACGATCATGATTAGGTCATCGCAAAGATTTTAGTGTTCATTTACAAAGGCTGTTAGTGGACCAGCACATAATTGTATGATGAGATATTTTCCTTTTTGGCTCTACTTGAGTGCTTACAGCAAAGCTTATCTGAGTAAGAAAAATACTTTCAGAGTCATTTCTTAGTTTGTTGCATAAAGCTTTGCCACTAGAGAATGAGGTATTCGTTTGGTTTTAGTTCTGCAAAGCCTACTTTCTCTATTTCCATTGTCATAGGGGACAGAAATGACCATGGTTGAGTCTTCTGTATCAAGGGATATGGAAAGTCAGGACCCAGCTGAGGGTACTAAGTAATGCAATGTGTTGTATTGCTGTGCTTGCTGTGCACCCCTTCCTTATTCCATGGGAAAAAGAGATGAAATAAACCAGAAAAGGCATGAAGGGTGTTCATTTGGTGTTTGCAGACACAAAACTATGTCTTTGAGACAATATAGCATCATGAATATGCTTTAAAATCCTCCCTCTGTCAGTGATGAGTTCTGTAACCTTCAGATAGTTCCCTGGGCCTTCCTTTGGAACACCACTAGTAGAGGGTGGGAGAAGGGGGTGCTGACCAGCTTACAATTTTCTGCCTTTTTTAATTTTATTTTTTTTAAATGTTGAATATCAACAACTCCCATTGACTTAATGCTCCAGGCTTGATCCATTAGGAGTCCTGAAACTGATCTCAAAAGACAGTAAAATTCAACTGGTATCCAGATTTACTATAAGCATTTAAACTACTTGCCATCTTTTTGTCTCAGTTTTTCTATTCGTACAATAGGATATGTTTGTTTTATAGAGAACACTGGAGGCAAGGATGAAAAGTGAAATATGAAAGAAGGTTATCATTCAGACGATGTGAACATTTTTGAAGTGTGAATGAAAAAGTATTAAGTTTAAAAAATTAAGAGTTAAAAATAAGCTACTCTTCATTTGAAATATAGTTAAAGACATTTAAGAGTGTTTTGCACAATTAAGTTGAGAAATAGTAAATTAGAAAGTGTTTTTAAGAATTATGTAATTGTGGATGGACAGGCAGATGAGGATTATTTTTGTCTTTCTGGTGTGTAAATTGCCATTCTTCTTTTGTCTGAGGTCTATCCACTAGGTGGATTAACATAGAGTTTTCTGTTTGTTGCAAAAGACACAGAAGAATAAACAGACTGTGCATTTCATTGATGGACCCAACCTGTTCATCCAGCGGGTATTGTGCATTCTAGCAACCACACGTTTCTTTCTTTACAGTAGAATAACTTTGGCAAGGCTCCATATTCCTGGGATACAAATACAAGGTGTTTCATTTTTAATTATTCAGTCCTGACATGAAAAGAAAGAGCTAGAAAGGCTGCTTGTAATTTTGCTGTATATCAGTTTTCAAGCACAGGAAAGCAACTGTGTGCAAAATACCGCTGTGCAACAGAAATTTTAAAGGAGGCTGATACAGCTCCTGGATCATGTTATGGAGGCTAGGCCTCTTTCAATAAATATTTACATAAATTCTGTGGGAGATTCCTGCATTCATGAAGTTGTGTGCATTTATGTGTGTCGGGCATGAGCACTTAACGGCATTTGTTTCCATGTTGGTGAAGCTACTATATGTTCAATGAGACAAATGTACTTTAGTCTTATCTTACATACTTGGTACCTATTTCAGCTTCAGACTTCCAGAGTTTGCCTCATACAAGGGGGGATAATTCAGTGTGATTTTTATTTTTATTTTCCCCAGATTTGCTAGGAGGCACAGGTCATGCTGATCTGACTGGGCATGCTGTATTTATGTATCTGGAAGTCTGTAGGTCCCTGCTGGCCTCAACTTGTGCACATGTGGGTATGTACAAGCTTTTCCTCCTTCCACAACACACTGAAGATTACACTGAGGGATTACATAGGCATTTAATAATGGTTTCTATATGGTCATATGAATACTCACATGAGTTTCTCTTCAAATTAAAAACTGAGTGTGAATTTAGATATTTAATTATATATTTATCCTTTTCATGCACTTCTAGACTTAAATATAAAAGGCTGTTAGCAGTGATTCTTAACTAATAGATCCATGAGTTAGTAATACTTTTCTCATGTTTTCAACTTAGCAGTACTGATAACAATTTGCTTTACTACTATATTTTAGATAAAAAGTTCTTTAAAAATGCTGTATTAAAATAATAGTATGAGTGATTCTACAATAAACAAGTAGAGAAGAAAAGACAGCTTGCCATGTGCATTGAAATAACAACTGGGCCCCAGTAAAAAGAATTATAGAACACATGATTGCAGAGGAAAAGTGGCTTGAGTATTTAAGGGTATTGGACTTGGTGTGTATATATTGTCTTTTGTTGTTGTTGTTATTTTTTAATGTTCAAAAAAAAATTAAGGTGACTTTTCTGTGGAAATATCTGGGAATCCTTTAAATGTATTATGCTGAAGAATATTTCACTTCGCTATTTCCGTGTTTCAGTACTGGTTTACACAAGTCTTTCAGAAGGCATGAATAGGACCACGCAATAGTTATGTCCTTGAAAGCTTTTATACTGTATTATGGCTACATGAGTGTGAAATCTGGGGCATTTGCTTTCACCATTGAATTAATTCAAGGATTTCAGGTGGTTAGGGAACAAGACCAGTCCCTCCATTTACCTGACGAAGAGTAGCTGCATGCAGCTGAAACGCCTCTTGTGGTTCACATGGGTGGTTCACCACTGGGCTGAAGCACAAATCATCTTGGCCCCAAAGAGCAAGTTTCCTGTTGATCCTCATTTGTGTCATTAAAGTAGTCAAGCAATGTAGAAGTCTGTATTGTTCCTCCTGGCATAGCACACATAAATAAATAGGGTGATTCAGTCACCCTGTTTTGGTTGTTAGCTATGTGTTCAGAGCAAGAGGGAGAGTGATAGAATGAAATACCCAGTGAACTCAGCTGCCTTTAAAATATCGGTGAGTTAAGAACTGATTTGCCTCCTCCTTGAAAAGATGTGGGTCTACCTTAAAGCGCCCTATGGCATGAGAATATATTCATTTCATGTTTCTGATTCTTCAAAAGAACTTCTATCAGCAGTGGTGATAACAGCTGAAACTTTCACAATACAACATTCCCATTAGAAAACAAAAAACAAACAAACAAAAAAAACCAGCAATGACAAAAAAAAAACAACCAACCAGCCAAACAAACAAACAAAAAGCAGGATACTTTTAGACAGGGAATTAACAAGATTTGAGATATCTTTCCATTTTTGTCTGTATTTCTTCACCATTTTCCCAGTTCTGCTCTTTAATCTCACAGGGGAGCTAAGCCCACAGGGGGTTCACTCTGTGATAAAGTGTTGCTTGGAGCTGGGACTCTCACCTTCTTTGGATAATGTGGCTGGATTCCCTTCATCCCCCGACACGGGAGAAAAGACTCCTTGGCAAAGTGTAACAATCTCCCTAACTCGATCTCTCGTGGGACTCACAGACTCCCATCAACTGCACACTGACAGCAAATCTATTCCAGTACTTTTGGGAGAATAAGAATTGATGCTAGCTTGGTGAAAGCGATAATGTGGCATCCTTTTAGTCCTATTCTTTCCTCACTTCTGGTGATGTGATTTTGTTACTAACACTGAGAAACTAAGTAGGGAGTGGAGAAGATGGTGTCACCCTCAAATCAGCCTGTCTTTGTCTCTGAGCATAGTTTAAGGCAAGAGATGCTGAGATGCTGTGATAGTAGTGGCACTGCCTAGAGTTGTGTATATTAAAGATCCTTAAATTCTCCCTGTGTAATACTTTCAAAACATCCCAAAAGTTTCTTCCAGCAGTGGGGTTGTGGGAGCACATGTATATCATTTTCTAGCTGTTTGTTGTGGTTTTGGGCTTTGTACTTTGGCAGGGTCAAAACTGAGCTTCTGCTTTTCACAGGTCCATTGTCACCAAAATTACCCACATTTTGTCCTGTAAGCATGTCCTATGCATTTCTGTACCATCATGACGGGGAACTTTGATAGTGTGGATTTTTTTTTATAAGTTACTTCTTTACAGTAAGCCAACAAGCCTTGTCACTATTCAGACATGAAAGGGGAACCTTACAAAAGTAACCAAACCTGTACCATGCAAGAATTACACGTAGGAAGACATGTATACAGGCCAAACTCCAGTTTTATCAGCAGAATTCTAGCAGCTTTTGCTTCATGTTCTGTAACCAGCTAGCTCGTTCTAAGCAGCCTTCCAGCACTGTTGAACTTCCAAAGTCAGTGTTACCTGGTGGCTTCCAAGGAATACCTTTACATATAGGGTGCTCTGTCTGTCAGCCAGGCCAAGGGGGTCCTGCAGACTGGAGGTGAGCTGAGCCTTGTTGAGAAATTTTACAGCACTTCACTGGACTGCTCTGGGCCATTAGTCTTGTAGTCTCCTTACTGCATACAGATTACAGTGTGTTTGTATTGACGGAGTTCTGTAGATATTAACACTGACTTTTTTTGACTCAGAAGATGAATTGTGGTAGTTAAAGGGTCATTGAATTAGGGCTTGAGACACCTTGTACGGTGTTAACCCTGGTGGGCAGCTGAGCACCGCCCGGCTGCTTGCTCACTTCCCTATGCTAGAAGGGGAGAGGATCAGAAGGGGAAAAGTGAGAAAACTCCTGGGCTGAGATAAGGGCAGTTTAAAAGGTAAAGCAAAGGTTGTGTGCACAAGCAAAGGAGAATAATTGACTTTGTCCCCTTGGCAGGCAGGTTTTCAGCCACTTCCAGGAAGCAGGGCTCCAACATGCAAACACTGTGACCCTGAACGTCCCCCTTCCTTCTCCTTTCCCCCAGTTTTTATTGCTGAGCACGACATCTCATGAGACAGAATATCCATGGAGTCTGTTGGGGTTGGAAGTCCTGGCCATGTCCCTTCCCAGCTCCTCGTGCACCTTGCTGGGAAGTAGAGAGAGCAACAGAGAAGCCTTGATACCCTGAAAGCTCTGGTCAGCAACAGCCCTTGTGTGTGCTCAACACTGTTTTCATCACAAATCCAAAACATACGCGTTGCAGTGAAGAAAATTAATTCCAGCCCAGCCAAAACCAGTATACATCTTTAGCTGCTATTTTATTCCATATTAAAAATAATTTGAATCGAATGTGTTTTAGGTTTGTTTTAGTCTTGAACATAACACAGATTTCTCACTTAAATGGCAGTCCAGCTTTCAAACACCTACTTTCTTTTCTGATGCTAATAGTAGAACAGCATACTATACCTAAGATACCTACTGCAGGTATCATATTTTCTGTTTTATGGAAAAGCTCTGAGGCTTGTTAACATTCTTGATAAGTAAAGGTAGCTTTTATATGAAGAAATAAAAATAAGAAAATAAATTAGATAAAATTTAAATCCACACCTGTAGACCCTGTGTTTTGGATCACGAATTCTCCAGGTGTAATTGTGTACATACCTCACTTGTCTTTGCAATTCTGTGCGAATTTTGAGCTCTGTGTGGAATTGGTAGCACTTTACTGTTAAGTGCCTGATCTGTAGATGCTAGATGCAGCTGAGTGCTATTAATTGTTCTAGAAATGGGCACAGTAAAGTTGTGTTTATTATGTTAGAGACTAAAAGAAAAAATCAAGCGTTGATTGTACCAGTTGATTAGCGTGTTTTTGAAGAACAGTATATGTTTGTTAAGTGATTATTTCAAAACACAATGATAACTGAAAGAAAATGTGTCTGGTTTTTTTTTATCTATTTATAAAAGATAAAAATTTATCTTTTTATTTGACTCTCTTTGGAAAAAATTAAATGAATCTAGAGGTCAAAGATTCTAAATTAAATTCTAATAAGCCATGACTGTTCCTCACTGTGACATTTTTTTTCCCCACTGGGATTAATGGTATGCACCTTTCTTTTTTCAAAGAAAAAAGTGGAAAGATACAGCAACTCCTTATGATTTTCTCAAGTTACTATGCATTTACTGTGATTGTGACATTGAAGTATATACCTTTTTTTTGACGAAAAAAGGGAAAAGGTGCAACTGAAATGTTGCTCTAAAAAGTATTAAAACTGGAGTTCTGATACTGTTGCACAATGAACATTTATATTAAGCATTTATGGCAGCTACAAATTCACCGCATGGTTTTTGAAGCAGTAATAAAGGGGGAGAAAAAACAGTCTAATTGACATTTTACAGTCAGAACAAAGGGTTGAAAGTGTGTGGCTTGTATGCAGCTACTTATGTGTTACATATTAGCCCCTTAAACTAGAACTAAACTCAGTATCACCTCTTAAAGAGGCTTTGGGCAGTTAATTATTAGTAAATTAAGTCCTTCAATCATTCTGAAGGTTGAAGAACATCAAATTATATGGTGCTTACCAAATGATGGCCAAAATCTGACTTAATTTACACTCTGTACTCAATGGTGTTCAGGAGGTTGTGAATCAGGGCAGAGTGTGGCCCTCTTAATAATTAAAGTAGAACAAAAATAAAGATCTCATTCAGAATGTCACTGTGAATCTGTAGTGCCTCATGGTATAGAACTGTACATCTCCAGCAGCACAGTGCTATGCAGCAGTACGACAAAAAGGAGAGGAAAACTCAGTCCACTTCAGGGGCTTTCTTAAATAAAAACGATTTGTATGGATGTTCTGCAATTTTCCTATGAGCCTAGTAGAATGCCTTTGATGCACTTGATTAGAGAACAAGATCCCAACCTTGTAGACTCAGTAAGATCATCATATGTTTAAATACAGATAATTAGTCTCAGTTTTATTCTTTATTTAAAATAATAATAAAAAAGAAACCTTAAGCCCTCCCTTTCTTTTATTTTGTTGTAGTATTCCTTGATTACAACCAATGAATTATAATGAGTTTGTTTAATT